CTGCTGAGAAACGTGGCTCTGGCTCATGGTGACCAGGATCAACGTGCAGTTTTAATGAGTAAAAAAAATTAAATGTGCCAAGGAAAGCATTGAGCATAAGGCAGATTATACGGAAGTAATCATCTAGCTATAAAGGGTAAAAATTGCTCTTACTGTATTATTTGGAAAAGGCTTGGTGCTGAATTTACACTGACAGCAACTGAAGATTGAAAGAATGTTGTTGGTTTAGATTATGTTCTTGAGATTAAATATCTAAAAATCATTGCAAAATGAAACATGAGCCTGAGAGAAAGCAAACAACAGCAGTGGACTCCTGGCCACAGAGCTTCAGTCTCTGTCACAAGGAAGTGCAGCAGTAACTGTTATCCTGACAGACAGAGCAATGTTAGTCACACGTCTGCTGTGTCAATGTGTTTGTAACAAATGGGAAAATAAATTCACCACATTGCTACAACGCTGGCAAATAGTGCTCACAACAACACACAGAAACCCTATCCCGTTCCATTTCTTGAGATAATGGAAATGCCATTCATACAGCATTCCTTTGCCTGCACATGCCCTTTCTTCAGGAAAGGCATTATGTCTGGCGTTTCTCTTCCCAGCAGCTTCTTTACTGCTCTCTCCTTTTTGTTCTTGGATATTCTGTGCAATCCAATACCTTTGCAGTGGTTGTGTTTATTGTATTTAGTGTGTGTCTTTCTTCCCTGCTCTTTAAATCCTTCCTGAAGTGCTGCACACTCCACCAAGATGCTCAATATTTTTTGAAGCTCAGGTCATTTCATAAGTGGCACAGCTGTGTGTCATCACAGGCCATTATGGTGTATGGTGAGGTGAGGTGAGGGATGCTGGCAGCACAGCGCATCCAAACCCTGACCCCAGGGAGGGCTGTGGTGAAGCAGGGCAAGGAATGGTCCCAAGCCCCTGCTCCACTCAGGCCAAGAGCTGAAGATCCCAATGAGTCACCACTACTGAACCTGGGTGCTGCATTTCCCTAAAGACCACACCCTATGCAGAAAGAACCAGCCAAAACGAGGCAGAAATACACTTCCAGCATTTTAAGACTTTTTTTCTTTAAAAAAAAAAAAAAAAAGGTAGCTATAGCAAACCAAACAGATTTCTTCCTGCATTTTTAATGGCTTACTCCTGTGCATGAGCTGCCTTGCAATAAACATCACAGCGAAGTTAACTTCCTTTAGTTTTGCTGTGATGTAGAATAATGATGACATTACCTGATAAAGCTCTTCTTTTCAGTGGGAAGAAAGGATTTTCTCCAACAAGGTATTTATTATCCCTGTATAGGATATATAGCTCACTACAGTGTCAGGCTGCAGTCCTGAAGCAAATCCTAAAGCCTGAATCCCACATTCATGCTCGGAACAGCTTCTCACAGCTGCAGCTACAGAAAAAAAATGATGTTCTGTGAGGCACAGAAATACAGGCTGAGTAAGAGGAGTCCATTTCATTCATTATCAATTCATTACCTGCTAAATCCTGCAGGGATGGAGGAGAGGACAGCGATACACTGCGTGATTCTTAGCGGAACACAACACATGGGCATGTTTGGTGGAGGCAGAGCACAAACCTCATCTCACCCAGAGACAGACTGCTGTGTGTCATAGTGCTAATGGACAGATTATCTCAGCAGCAAATAAATTTTGTTGGTAAGATTGGAGTATTCAGGCAATTTGGGATGTGATTTGCTAGCATAAAAATACACTTTAAGAAAATAAACTGCTGTTACGAGCAATTTCACTTACTCAGAGGCACTGAAAATGGGTTGGAGGAGGAAGATGGGACTGAAGTACTGAAACCTAAGCTCCCCAGGACCAAAAATGGGCTCCCTTTGGTGGGCTCCTCCTGCCCTCTGTGGTTCCCTTCTGAGCTCTGAGTCAGCCCCAGCCCTGCAGCAGTGCCATGCTTCATCTCCTTTGGGCTTACCCTAAGCCACAGAACCATGGTGAGGATGCGGTTCCCCAGCACAGGGTGAAGCACAGCACAGCCCTTGGATACTGGCAGGGCAGGGATGAGCTCTGGGTCCCCTCGGGGAGGGTGTGCTGAGCAGCAGCCACCTGCTTTGCGTGGAAACATGGGACGCACTGATAACCACTGGCTAAAGAAGCATTTTTGGAGCTGACTACTGGCCGCAATCAATATCTCTCACCACAGCTTCACTGAAGGGAAAAATGAAATTCATCTCTTTTGTCACTCAGTAATGAAACTCAATTTCTACAGGACTTTGGCAGAGAGAGGCTATCCATTAAAGAGAAACCTGTGAGTACGAAAATGTCAGGAGAGCCTCCTGCAGGCTGTAGCTAACCAGCACACACAAGTTCAATGCCAAAACGCCTTTCCGTGTCCTAAACATCCATCTGTGCTGAGGCATCACTGACCAGCCCAAACATTAAGGTGCTCTAAATGGAAGGAATAGGATCAGCATCCAGTAAAGCTTCAGCAGAGAAAATATTCTTGCACAAAATTAACCCAGCCATAGCTACTCAAGAATGCCACTTTTTAAACGAAGGAATTTAAAGATTACGAGAGGATTTGTATCCATCTGTCACATTTGGCCTGCTTTCATTTACAAATCTTTCTCAGTCAAACTTCACTAAGAATCCTGTCAGCAGCTGCCTATTTTTAGATGAACTCACTTTATTTGGTAGTTTCAAATCTAATGATTTCCTTACAGGGAAGATTTACAAAAAGGGGCGTTAGAACATTGAGTCCATTGAAGCTCCACTTTATTAATATTTGCATGCTGTGCTACCAAGGCCAAATCAACATGCACAGTCTTACTGTTTTAATCCAGCAAATGGATGTAGCAGAATTCTACACACATACACACACAAAAGAAAAAAAAAATAAAAAAGCATTTGCAGCCTACAAAATGATGGAGTTAGGATACCTAACCAGAAAAATTAGCTTAGATCCATTTTGATGAGTGCTTTTCTCTCTAGTGCACCTATAAGTACAGCATTTAAGTACAATATCCACCAATTTTCTTTGAAAGAACTCGCTGATGGAAGAAAAGAGGAGTAAAAATGCTCTCCTGAGAAGAGAGGACTTCAGAACCACTTTGGAAATGGCTGAAGCAAAACCCAACCAGGGCTCTGTGTGCCAAGACAAGCATCCCAGCCAGCAGCACTGCCTGGAGCCCAGGATGGGTTTTGTTCATGGCTCACATCAGCTTCTGTCAGACAAAACTGTGTTTGTCCCACACACAATAATCACGGGTATCTCACTATTTTGATTTTAAAGACTGCTTTCCACTTTTTGTATTTACTGCCAGCAGCTTCATCTTTTCATTAAATTGACTTTGATACGGCAAAACATTAATAAAATACATCACCAACACAACTGGCCTGAGACTGAACAGTCTGAATAGCTGGAGAGCTTGGAATCACCAACATCTTCTGCAATGGCTCGAGCAGCACATTCTCTGTGCTAGGATCACAATCAGATCTTCCTTCCAGAGCAGGTAGCACCAGTTATATGTTTTTAGTGAACAAGTGAGATGATCAGACTGACGAGCCACCGCCATCTCAGTGTTTTAACCTCTAGAGGTATCTCTAGCTGATTAGCAGACTCAAATTCTGGCTTTTTATTTACAGCGAGTTGCATCCTCTCTCAGTTTTGAATGCTGAGACTTTACTAAAATGCTTATTTACATAGCTTCGCATTTCTGCATGATTGCTTTATTGTATGATATAAATCTCCAAGCGTGTGTTTGGAGCAGTTTAGTCTTTATTTTCTCTGTACAAACGTGCAGTTTTCAATACAGGAAAATGCTATCTTTTTCTCCTGACAGAGGTTGGTAATTTTCTCCACTGTTTTTTTCCTTCCTAACAAACTTCAATCAATCAAAATGACTGGAGAGATGAAGTGACCAAATCAGCGTGACAGCAAAGGATCTACACTGTTCATTGGACTGGTAAATCCTCGTTAAAAAATATAAGCAGAAGCAACAGAAAGCGACAACTTTAAAAAGCTTATTTTTTTAAGCATCATTAAAAACTGGAGATACGTGGTGAAAAATATACTCTGAGCCCCTGGTTTAACTGTGCTGTCCTTCAAGAACTCCTATGACGCACAGCTCCTTAAGCACATGACACGTACAGTCTGCAAAGGCACTGCAAGTTGCTTGAGAGCTTCTGAGATCAAAGCATTTTAAGAGAATGAGGTGCATTTAGTGGGTGACTATGTGAAAGGAGCTGATGAATTAAAAGAGTATTGTAATTGTTTCAAGTCACTAAAGCTCAAAGCCCTGCTAGTACCCAGAACAGACACTGCACATGGCATTTTAAGTTGCTTGAGCATTTGAGATCAAAGACGCTGATAGAGAGCAGGAGTCTGAGCAGCAGACTGAGTATCCAAGTGTTCTGAGTATTCTCAGCACTACACTGAAAGCACAAAGTGACACACCAAAACAGTACAAGCTTGTCAATGCTTGCTTTTCCAGAGTTGGGCTAAGGCTGAGAAGCCAGGGGATGATGTGTATAGCAGATATGGGTGGCTATTTTGGAAGATCAGCAAACTCCATCCAAAGCATCTGTTCTTTTCCCTCTGTAATCATAAAGGAGACCTGGCATCAGGACAACTGATCCCAAAGCTAAAGGATCCAAAAGCTAGGACACTTCTAACTACTTTCAAACTAAATGCTAGTAAAAAGTATTAGCTATAATTACAAACCCTCAGGAATCTAGACTGTCACGACACAATCATCAGAGCCCTGTAATTGCACTAATAAAATGCCTCTGACATTTTACCAGTTATCTATTTTTGTCTATCCACAGCCATCATGACACATTTAAAAATCAGACTTTGTGACCACCCAGTCCATGCTAAGCGAGCTCAAAAACAAGTAAGTTGTGAAGAAGAATCCAGCAATGTGCAAGACATCCATTTGACAAAAACATTTTAACAGGCTTCACGATCCCTCTAAAGACTGGAAGTGAACAACTTGCTTTTAGTAGCACATGACTTAGAAAGAAGTAAAGACATACCTGCTTCGTCATAGGATACAGTCAATTTTTCCAGCATTTCTCGATCAATTGATAAAATCTGCTGTTCCAGGATGGTCTGATAGGACATCACACTGTTCTCCTTGTCCTTCTCATAGTCCTGAAGATGTTGTTTCAGGACTTCAGGCAGGCGGGACTTCACATACTCTGCTGCCGACTATGTAGAAAAGAAACAAAGGTTTAATTAGCACTTCTTCTTTTGAAAAGCTTCATGTATGTTCACAGCATTATTACTAGTATTGTTTTCAGTTAAAGCACTATCAAATTTAACAATCCATACAATAGAATGCTCTTAATAGTACCAACTCCATAGTGCTAAAATCAACAGGTCATTTATCTGCCAAAACCACCCTGCGTGCCCAGAACTCCCATGGATGCAGGGATACAACAGAACAAATTCCTCTGAGAGAAAGCACAGTCCTACTCTCCTACAGCAGCATGTACAAGTCATGGCTTCTCCTTAACAATGTGCTATTTGATTGTCCATAAACAGCAAACTGAGAGACACAGAGTAGCTCAAAAAGTTTTAATCTTGGTCTCCTACATTCCCTGGGGTTGCGGTGGAGCACTGAGGCATGAATGGGATTTAGGCTTTGATGCTCAGCTTTCATAGCCCTCCCCACCTGCACTGTCATTCAGTGCAGCTCTGCTAGTTTGTTATATCTCAGCTGATGAGCTCCGGCTACCTTTCTGTTCAATACAGGATAATCATGTAATGTTTCCCAAACAAAGTTAACGGGTAAAAACAGCAGTGAAAATACATTATAAAAAGAAAATAATTTTCCTTCAGCAGGAAGGTTATGGCAGTCCAGAAGCAGTTAATCATGCCTGAATAGGAACATAACACAATACCCACATTTCTTCATCATAAACACAGTTTGAAAAGAGTTTTTAAAGTATCAAGTGAGCGAATGGAATCCCTTCACCTGCTATTGTTACATAACCAGGCTTGGACAGGGAGACTGCAGATGTATTACACATCCACAGAAAATTCTTCATTGGTCACACAGACAAAAAATTAAGACCATAAGAAAGCAGAAATTAACACAAGGTGGCATGGTTGCATCAGTGTTACAGAGCAACATGCAGAAAACTTACAGGGAAGTAAATGAGAAGAGCATCTGCCTCTGGACAGTTGCCCACCTGCCACCATTGCTGCTCTGTGCAGCACGAGGCACCGGCAGCTCCCTGAGAAAATGATAAACACAGCATTGCTTCAGGCCTGGGACTGACCACAGCCCTGCTCAGCAGCATGATCTCCTGGCTCTATATTTAGTTTGCCAAAGTCAATTGCTGATTAAGTCACAACCTTAAAATATCACTGAAGTTGCATTCAATTGATCTGCAGGCTAAGCCATATGAAACGAATGAAATTATTCTACAAAAACCAAACAAACTGTCCACATGAGTACAACATATTTAATGTTACAGTTTAATAGCTGTTTCCTTCCAAGGGAAGGCCAAAAGACACACTGTACACTAATTATTTAGTCCACGTTCAGGCATTTATATTTAATGTTTGCTTTGAGAAGAGGCTTCACTCTGCAGGGGGTATTTTTGTACTCTCCCACTGCAGCAATTCTGAAGAGCAGAAAGCAGAAGAAGAGTTTACACACATTCATTTTCCTGCGCCATCTGAGCAAGCACACCAGTGGCTGTAAGCGCTATCACTTCTGACCCAGAGACCTCACCACCTGAGCAAAAGCTCAGAGACAGATGGATGGGAGCAGATGGGAACACAACCAGGACCAAAGGCACCGGCTGTGAGGAGGCAGCCCCAGTGAGGCACCTGCAGCACAGGGCCGCCTTCATCACCGACATCAAAACACCCCAAATCCATGGAGAAACGCTGCCCAAGCGCCTTTTCCTGAGATGCTCACTTGTCCAGAGCTCCTCCTGCCATGCTTCAGGGGATGCCGTTGCACTGAGTGCTTGAAGTCATTCCCAGCAGCACTCCTGACCCAGAAGAGATACATGTGCACAATGGCTAGACATTTCCAAACATATGTGCAGCAATTACTTTCCTGCTGAAGTGTTACTCTGCCAAGCAGGATGCAACCAGCCTGGAGCCCAGGGCTGCAGGTAGTTGGCCCAGCCTCAGCCTTGAAGGAGAGCAAGCTCATGGGGCTGAGACTGATCTGAATATGGATTTGAAAAGAATTCTCAATAGATTTTGAGATGTCTGCCTTCCATGCCACAGCTAGATATTGAGCTGTAAAGTAATGACAAAATGGATATGAACTCCTCAGCGTTTATACAGATTGCCTTTAAGGTATTTCATTCTACAATAGCAATCTATTATCTTATGCACCTACCTACAGTGAAATAACTCAAGAATCATAGTCACAGAATCATTAATGTTGTAGAAGACTTGCAGAGCTTATTCACAAAAAGTCAATTTTTTCTCCACAATGCTACATGTAAATCACATCAGGAAATGCTGAAATCCCTCACTGTGTCTCATTCTGGATCTCCAAAGCACCCATTGCCCTCCAGTAACTCCCAAATTTGCCAACATTTATAATCAATGAGAAATACTTATTCTAAGTATTTTCTTTCTTTAGTTATGCCAAGTGTCACCCTTTGCTCTGCTTTCTGCTGGGAGCTCCCTTATATATGGAGAAGTAAAGGTCTACACAGGTTAATTAACAAGTTCTTTGTGAAGCCACTTCAGGAGTCAAGTGGCAGCTCCAGCAAGAAGTCTCCTTACACAGCTACATCTCACACAAAAGGAGCTGAATATTTGGTGTGCGAGAAAGAGCCACCTCTGTAAGAGAAAGTCTCAGCCTCGGCTGTTTTACTTGCATTCTACAGGCTGCTGCAGCTCAACACTTCTCAAGTTTGGAATTACCAATCTGCTCAACCTGTAAAATTCAGGCTTCCACCAAAGCAAACTCATGATCCTTGCATTCCTGCCACCTGAAATATGTCTTCAGTGGATGAGCAGCTGCCCCATATGTCCCATAAAGCTGGTGGTGGCCAAACAACAACTGGGGACATGCAGCCAGAGGGTCTGCATCCATTGGCACCCTGTGAGCACACAGGAAGAGACCAGAGTGCCAGCATCAAATGTGATGATGGTGGGACCAAGTGCTAAGCAGGTCCACGCCCTATGAGAAAGGAGTGCTACAGAAAACAGTGTGGGAAGATGAGCACAAGTGCACATATAGCAGGTGGAGAAGCTAAGGAGATGGAACAGCTGTGAGCCATAACACAGATCTCCAGTGCAAAGAATGGAAGATGAGGACTTCCTTGCCTGAGACCTGTGCTCCTCGTTGGCTGCAGTGATTTACAGGGACAGGAGGGAAACTACAGATGTCTGACCTTAATACCCTTGAGACAGTTTGTCCTGTTTACCTTGCTGCTGCAAACATCCAGAGATCACAGGAAAATACAGATCCATTTTAGAGAGCGGTACTGCTGGCATAGCATCTACATTGAAGGATTACAAACGAGATCAAGATTCTTCTGTCACATCTTTCTACCTCTTCTTGTCACTGTTTGAGGGCCACAGGGCCGCTACTACACGCTTCAGAGACAACACATCAGGAGCTGCTGGAAAAGGGGCACCTTGCTCACCTCCTGGTTCAGCTGAGGGAAGGATTTTGAGAAGGAAGCACACGCACGGTCAGAATGTAATCATGAGGATGGAAACAAGTGGAGACTGGAGTAAAAAATGACTTAAAGCTAGCCAAGGTGGCAAGAAAAGTTTCTGCAAGTCCATTTGTAATAAGAAAAAGACAGGCAAATGTTGGTCTACAGCTCAGCAGAGTAGAAAAGCTTTTGACAGATGATGCCATAAAAGCTCAAGTGTTTGCAGTCTCATTTTGGTTACAGTATGACTGCCTTTACTTTCATGCATTCAAGTGGCAGTTTATATCAGAGGAAGGTAACCAAAATTGTAAGACAAAATAGGGAAAGAATACATTAGGAAGTGTTTGTAAAGATCAGGGTTTTCCAGCTGGCTGGGCCAGATGAAATTAGTTCAGCTGTAGGTGGCTGACTGAAACAATTTCTTTAACAACTTCTGTCTCTGAAAATTCACAAGAGGACACTATTTGGAAAGGGCAAACACAGGGGCTACTTTTAAAATAGGATAAAGGAAGAGAAGTGGAATAACAGAGTAGGCAGTTCAACTTCGGTGCCTAAAAGCGGAATAAAAGATCAAATGATCTCTATTATGAGAAAGCAGCAAGAACTGTAAGGCACAGCCAGCAAAGTGCTTCTCTCAGGGCATGCAGGGACACAGTAGCTTGGTTCCCATCAGTGCAGACTGGGGAGCAGCTCAAGGACTCCACCAGAAGTACTGCTGGAAATATGCGATGATCCCACTTGAGATTTCACATTCCGTATTTTGGACTTGAACTCCTTAGCAAGGATACTTTTCTACACATGTTTTTGGCTAATATCTTAAAACAAACTGATAAACAAAACCTAAAAATCCACCATGCCACAATTCATTACACAAAGAACAGTGCCCTTAACTTGCTAGATATCTTACAGTAAGATGAGGTCGTGGACAAGAAATGTATTCCAGTCCATTAGTGATTTTTTTTGTAGCAGTTTCCTGTTTATTTCAAAAAAGTACACTACAAAAATACATTTTAAATAAATATTTATATATATAAACTGAAATTGCTGGGATGAAGACACATCACCTCAAGTCAATCTACCTGCACACACTTCCCTCTGACACACAGCAGCCTCTGCTGCCAGGGCCAACCAGGACAGTTCCACCAGCACACCCCTCATGCTGTGCTCAAGCACACTTATTCCCACTTCACCATGGTTACAAACCAAGCAGCACAGCCCTAAACCTTTAAGAGGTTTTTCTTGACGCCTCAGTGCTCTATTGGGTGCTAACTGCACACAGAAATGGTTACGGAGCACTCTTTGGATCCCTGCCTTGAGGAGAGCTTCGCTCAGGCTGATGCTGCTCTTTCATCAGCAAGAACCACAAATAACTCCCATGAAGTCAGTAGAATTTTGCTATGCCATATTCCTTGGACAAAGGACATGAGTCTATTAATAGATACTCAGAAGGAAAACATGATAGCAAAACATAATTTACTCTCAAGAGGATAATGCAAGGTCTACAAATGGCACTGGGATGAACATTCTGCCCTCTATAGCAAGGAACTATTTAAAGAACAAACAAGTCAAACGTAACTC